CAAGCTGTGGCCTTACCCCCAAGTCGACCCCTGTTCTTTAGCCGTTCCCTTCGTCTGGCAACTCTGCGCATGCGCACACTGGGAACAGGCTCCAGCTGTTCCTCTGGCTCACTGACTCCGAAGGCAGCTGATAGCTGGCATACAGCTCTGGCCCCCTCTCTGCCTCTGACCCAGAGCCCTCATCGGAGCCTTCCCCAGACTCCAGGACTGGCTCATGTTCCTCCCCAACCTCCTCACTGTCCACTGCTGGAGGGCCACAACACCCCTTTTGCGACAAGCAAAGTCGACAGGAAGCCAGATTCACTCCACAACCGAGTTACTAACTTAAACAGCTGTTATGAAACGGGGCACAGCTCACTTAACAAATGTCTCGCTTAACCACGAGGCTTAATGTTGGTCGTAAGTTGAGGACTACCCGTAATGACGGATTTCCCTAAGAGTGAAACTTGTGGTTTTTAAATTACATCGCCTATATATAAGAAAACAGTCAGTTGGGGTTTTTTTGTTTTCGTTTTTAAATCCGCCTGTGTGATTGTATCGCCCTCTTTCCGCCTCCGTCTTCTCAGCACGGGGACTCCACGTAGTCGTTCTCCAGGCCTCGCCGAAAGCGAGCGGTCAGCGTGCGGCTGATCACAATGACTCTGGGGGCCATGCAGTCCTCCCGCCGGTGAAGGATGTTCCATATAAGGATGGCTGCAGCCAATGTGGCTAAGAGACACGCCCCAATGTTCAGGTAGCAAGACCAGGACAGACTGGTGTAGGGTCCAATGCGGTAGAAAGTCACCAGGCCAATGACCAGAACAAAACCTGAAAGAAAAGGAAATTGGAATCTCACGTTAAATAATATTCCTGGGATGTCAAAATATCCAAGAGGGAAAAATCTTTTGCAGAAAGGAAAATGTTGTGGCATGAGGATTAAGACATACAGGCACAGGCATGCATGGATAGGCATTCTTTCTTTCAAAGATCCCCCAAAAGCTAACCACAAGAATTTGCTTCTTTTCTTCCAAAGTGCAGATCAAAATGATTATTTAGAATAGAACAGAATAAACAGAGTTGGAAGGGACCTTGAAGATCTTCTAGCCCAGCCCCCTGTTCAGACAGGATGCCCTATACCACTTCAGACAAATGCTAGTTGTTCCCGACTCTAGGGAGCAGTGCTCATCTCCGTTTGAAAACCAAAGAGCCAGCGCTGTCTGAAGACATCTCAATGGTCATGTGGCCAGCATGACTCAATGCTGAAGGCGCACGTAATGGGAGCTCACTCCGTTATCACACTACAGCCTTCCACCAGGATTTGCACCCCTGTGGTTTTTAGTCCAAAGAGGCCAAAAAATTGAAGTCTCGGATGCTTTCAAGGCAGAATCCGCAGAAAGATGGATATTTTTGAATGGGAAAACACATCCATAAAATTTCCCTGGGAAATTCCTTTATCTGGAGATGGATTTCCTCCTGCGAAAGGGCAGGAAAGAGTCCGGTTTTAAAAGTAGCGGCGATGTTTTGCTTTTCTTAACGCGGCCTTCTCCCGCCAGTCTTGAAGACCTTTATGAACATGAAGTATTATCCCACCAACCACTTCCTCCTTCGTGTGTATCCTAAATATCCGGTTATTCATGTTTCCCTGTTGAGGAAACTGAGGTGAGGAGATTTGTCTAGCCACGCAGGAAATCAATCAAGGGGTCAGAAGTAGAATCCGAAACATCTGACCCACAATGTTGTGTGAAAGAACCACAGAGCTGCCCTACTTTCCATTCAGGCAGGTGTCAACAGCCTCTGAGGTGTTTCTGGGCAGGTCTAGTTTAGTTTAGTTTAGTTTACTTTAATTTACTTTAGTTTACTTTAGTTTAGTTTACTTTTTACTTTTTGCTTTACTTTATTTTTTACTTTGGTTTACTTTACTTTACTTTACTCAGTGGTGAAATTCAATTTTTTTAACTACCAGTTCTCTGGGCATGGCAGGGGAAGGATATTGCAAAACCTCCATTCCCACCCCACTCCAGGGGAAGGATACTGCAAAATCCCATTCTCTCCCCACTCTTTGGGGAAGGATATTGCAAAAACCCCATTCCCACCCCATTCCAGGGGAAGGATACTGCAAAATCCCGTTCTCTCCCCACTCCTTGGGGAAGGATATTGCAAAATCTCCATTCCCACCCCACTCCAGGGGAAGGATATTGCAAAATCCCCATTCTCTCCCTACTCTGGGGCCAGCCAGAGGTGGTATTTGCCTGTTCTCCGAACTACTCAAAATTTCCGCTGCTGGTTCTCCAGAACCTGTCAGAACCTGCTGAATTTCACCCTTGACTTTACTTTACTTTATTGTCATTGTATTGTCATACAATGAAATTAAATGCCATCTTCAGTGTACATTATAACTATAAAAATAAAGTAAAGCAAAAAGTAAAAAGTAAACTAAACTAAAGTAAACTAAAGTAAACNCATAATGAAATAAGAGAAAGTGTGGCAGGCCAAAATTCTAAAATGAATATAATTGCAGGCCTGACACTAGCCTAGAGTCATTTACGTTCCCACGAATGGTCCAAATTCAAAGTAAATATTTGTAAAAGTTTGTTTTTCAAAATTCTCATTAAAAAAACAAAAAACAATGTGGAGTAGCCCTTCCTTAGTTGTAAATGATGGTTTGCAGATCTCGGTTAAACTACTAGACTACTAAATTACAATGTGATTTACTTGGTTTTGGTTGCCTATGGGGTGAAATCCCAGTCTTTTTTCACACCAACTTCCTTTTTGTTTGTGTGTGTGTGCAAATCCTAACAGTGCTCAACAGGGACCCTGCCATACATCCTGGACAAATGCAAGGCGGCGCTGGAGAATCTGAACACCGATGCTGATTTGAAGGTCCCGTGCTTGAAATCATTGGAGGTCGGAGATATAACGCAAGTGGAAAAAACTCACAATGAGGTGAGAAGGCGGGAGAGGGATGGCCACGCTGCAGATGTTAGGAAGTAGAGGAATCTTTTCCTTCTCTCTGGTTCTACTCTCTAGAAGATCATCGGCCTCGTTTTAGGTCTCCTCACAAGCATTTAGCATCAAAAAATGGCCAGGCCTTAGAGCGCTAACAGATTAATTATAGCACATCTATCACAGTGGTGGGTTCCGGATACCGTTGCAACCGCTACGGTTGCAATGGGGCACGGCGTCCTCCACATGAACACGTCTTACCTTCCAGCGATGCCTCCGCAAGCCTCTGCAACGCTCCAGCTGCTCGGTGGAGCATCGTGCAGTCGCTGTATGTGCCATGCGCATGCGCAGAAGCACAGAAGCCTGTAAAGGACAGGTAAGGAGCTCAGGCGGGCGAGTGTGCCCACCGGAACGGAACAGTACCCGGTGTTCCGGGCTGGCTCTGGTACACCCGTATAAGGGCGGACCGCCTGCAAGCCACCACTGATCTATTAGTAGAAGGGAAGATGTTTATAATATTCTTAACATAACTCCATCCCCAGAAACATTTCACTGAGATCTTCTTTCCTTGGTTCTTTTTCTTGTGACCCCAAAATAAGGAAAGGAATAAACGGAAGAGAAGGGAAGGATGAGAAAGGGAAGGGGAGGTTAAGAGGAAAAGAAAGAGGGAAGGGAAAGGAAAAGAAGGGAAGGATAGCAATAGTCCTTAGACTTATATACCGATTTATGGGGCTTCCCAGCCCTGTTTCTAAGCAGTTTACAGAGTCAGCCTCTTGCCCCCAACAATCTGGGTCCTCATTTTACCCGCCTCAGAAGGACGGAAGGCTGAGNCATGGGCCAGGATATCACCCTGGCAGCTCTCCAAGCTGTAAAGCCTTTGCTGGATGTGAATAAGCAGAATTCCCCATCAATTAATAAAAGGGTTTTTTTGTCGGGACAAGGAGTTTGCTTCAGGCTCTTGGGAAGCCTCGGTCAGAAAGAATATCATTGTTTTTGTGCCTCCAGCCGCTTGGAAGGATAAAAGAGGCCATTAACCAGTAGAATTCTACCACTGAATTGAATGCAAAGTGACAACATCAATTAAAATATCATTATCCAATAAAAAGTATCTTTAACCAATCGGTGTCCTTATTCCTCCTGTATGTGTATAATACACAGACAATTCCAAATACCCCCCCCCGCTTCTCTCAGAAGGGGTGGAGGGGCAGCCTTACTTAGGCAAAGAAATTAATTTTTTTTACCCCATGCAAGGAATTGTCAGAGCAATCGTTCTGCATTCTCTTATTTTTTATCATAACTTTTCAACTCTCCAAACTGCGGGGGAGAAGATTTATAACTTTCATTATTTCATGCACACGGAGAGACACCGATGCTGACCTCAGCTTCTTAATGCTGAGATCGTTCATCACTTTACGGCTGATGGGATATTTATTTAGATCGGGGTTTTTACACGTCAGTCATAAAATATGGAAATGCTTGCCAAGTTGGGGTTTTTTTTCCCTTTTTTAAAAAAGATTCAAGGGCTTTTTTTTTTTGTCATTGCTTTTGCCTCCTTTTTGAGCGATCCTTCAGATCTGATTCCCTAAATTCTCTCTTCTCTTTTGAACATCAGAGGGCTTATTTGCAGTGATTTTTTTTCCTCCTGTGAAAACAAAACAAAAATAAAAATTACACCGAGGGATGCCAACAGCTTTTTTTTTTTAAATCAACTTGTTAAGTTGCTTGTTAAAAGAAGACAGCGCTAAAGGAGTAAGTTAGCAATTATTTAATAGAAATACAGAAGTCAAAATTCTGTTTCCATTCTTTTCTTTTTTTCTAATTCTTTTCTTTTTTCATTTTTTTATATTTTTTACGGTAGTGTAATATACTAACATAGCAGCTTCCCATGTCTCTTGGAGGAATAAAGGTTAAGGAATAATAGATAAAGGTTTCCCTGGCACATATGTGCTAGTCGTTCCCGACTCTAGGGGGCGGTGCTCATCTCCATTTCAAAGCCGAAAAGCCAGCGCTGTCTGAAGACATCTCCATGGTCATGTGGCCGGCATGACTCAATGCCGAAGGCGCACAGAACGCTGTTACCTTCCCACCAAAGGTGGTTCCTATTTTTCTACTTGCATTTTTACATCCTTTCGAAATTGCTAGGTTGGCAGA